GTTTCAGAGAGAGCCCAGAGAGACGTTATTATCTAGATCAGGGGTCCCCAACCACCGGGCCGCGGACCGGTACCGGTCCGTGGATCACTTTGCACCGGGCCGCAAAGAAAATAAAAATAAAATAAAAATGGCAGCTTTCTTTGCCTTCGGTGAATGCTGCTGGGATCAGGGATCAAGGACACAAATGAAAGAAGGGGAGGGAGGAAGCAACCAAAGCCTGTCCTGCTCTCTGGCTCAGTGGCTTCGGTTTCCTCCCACCTCGTTCCTCTCTCAGTCGCTCTCTCGCTCCTCCACCAGCCCAGGAAGAAACTGCTTCAAAGCCGGCAGGGTGGCTTTTCCTGTCGGCGCAGCTCCCCCGAAGCGCCCGTTCACCCCCACCCCGCCGCCAATCAATCCAGGTTCAATCCAGTGCTCCGTTCTGCCTGCCTGCCTGCCTTCGTTTGTTTCGGAGCAGCTTCGGCTGAGAATAATAACTATTCGCCTCTTTTACTCAGCCGAAGCTGCTCCGAAACCACCAGAAACGAAGGCAGGCAGGCAGAACGGAGCACTGGATTGAACCGCGGGCGGCGGGGTGGGGGTGAACGGGCGCTTCGGAAGAGCTGCGCCGACAGGAAAAGCCACCCTGCAGGGTTCTTTGAAGCAGTTTCTTCCTGGGCTGGTGGAGGAGCGAGAGATCGACTGAGAGAGGAACGAGGCAGACACCTGAGGGATGCGGCTGAGGGAGGGAGGGAGACACCTGAGGGACGGGGCTGAGGAAGGCAGGGCCGAGTTCAGGGAGCGCCAATGCCTCCTCATTGCAACCCTGAGCGACAGATAGTCCCTGCAGGATGGCTGAGAAGCCCCGCCGCCCTGCAGGGACTATTTGTCGCTCAGGGTTGCAATGAGGAGGCATTGGCGCTCCCTGAACTTGGTGGTTTGCTGGCAGACGTTTTATTACCCGACTAGGTAACAACATCAGATGTTACCTAGTCAGATAATGAAACGTCTGCAAGCAAACCACCAAACTCGGACTCTCCCCCCCCACCCCCGGTCCTTGAAAAAGTGTTTCTGCGTGAAACTGGTCCCTGGCACAAAAAAGGTTGGGGACCACTGATCTAGATCAGGGGTGTCAAACTCAAGGCTTGTGGGCTGGATCTGGCCCACAGGGTGCTTAGATTTGGCCCACGGGCCCACCCTGGAAACTGCAAAGGACCGGCCCTCAGTGCCTCTGCCAGCGAAAATGGAGCCTTAATGAGTGATATTGAGTTGGCCATGCCCCCCTCCCGGCTCCCTGAGGTCAAACACAACCCTGATGTGCTCCTCAATGAAATCGAGTTTAACACCCCTGGCCTAGATCCTCACAAGAGACATTGATTTACAGTTTGCACCTGGTCTATCTCAACTCAGGCAAATCTTACTATCTGAGAACAGGATCCTATAGGCATACAAATCTGAAGTTATGAAGGGTTTTATAAGTGACAACCAACTTCTTGAAATGAATGGTGAAGATCACCAGTAACCAATGCAGCCCACAAAGTAAACCTGGACAAAATGGAGAGTGCCTGTAACTATTCCTATGGCAGCATTCTGGATCAGCTGTAACTTCTAAATGATTTTCCAGGCTAATCCTATATAGAGTACTCTAGTGGTCCAGTCAGGAGTTAATTAAAGCACAAGTGATTGTATGAAAGACCTTCCAATCCAGGAAATATCACAATTGGAACATAAGATGGATCCACACAAAGGCCATTGTGGTCACAACTGCCACTTGTTAATTGAGCAGGAGCCAAAAACCTTCAAATTATGCAAAATTTGCCTTGGGAGACTACAACCACCTCATAAACTAAAAGTGGTGAATCTCTGTAAATGGAGGTTTCTTAATTCCAAAATGACCAGCCTAGTAGAATTGAGCCTAAGGGTATTTGTCCCCTCCAAGTACCCAGCCCTAGGACCTGGATGGCATTGCTTGGATAGTCAGAAAAAAATATATTTTTCTGTAGCTGTTTCAAATCCCCTATGTGTCTTTCCATCATGTTAAGAAAGTGGTAAGAATCTCAAGTTGGTGCTTTCTAAATGCATTGGGTCTGCTGGCTGGTTTGGAAAATTCTGAGAATTGCAATTCCTCAAAATCTGGAAGGCCCCAAGTTGTGTACAACAAAACATCATTAACATAAAATGAATGAGCTTGTAAAATTTGCATTTAAACAGCAATGTTCTGTTAATATTTGCAGGTCTATGAAGAGAATGGCTTGCAAGCATTCTTGTTTTTTAGCCATAACGTTGAGGTTTGCTTAAGTTCTTATTGGGAAATTGTTGGATTTCTTTATACAAAGAAAGCCTATTGTAAACTAAAAATAAATGTTAATATTGCCAAACAACAGAAAGTCGCCTCTTCTACTGTTATAGGCTGTAATCAGTTCCATACACACAGATGTTCCATTCAATTTCTGTTCTATTTGGATTACAACTATAGCAGCAAAATGTAAGTTCAGAGCCAAGTTGACCTGATGCAATTCAGGTGGCTTTTTCAGGACTCATGTCTGTAAAGGAATGTTTCATCTTGCCAAATTCCCTACTGCTGAATTGTGATAACCAACAAAAAGTGTTCCTCAGAGTTAGGGATTAGATAGGAGTTAAAGCTTAGATGATGGCTCTGTTCAAACTTCAGTTCTTTCTTTGGTAGACCCAGATCTGGAGGGATCTGCAATTTGAGATCTGTTAAACAAATAATCCATCAGCAAAAGCCTATTAGCTAGCTACTAGAGATCATCCCTGCATTTGTATCCTCTGACATACAATTAAAAACAAACTCCTTGTGAACTGGATAGTTGGTTGAAATCAGCATGCTGGGTCTGAATTACAAATGGATATGATAAAAGTGAATATGTGATTAATTACTAAGGCCCAATCATAAATGCAGTTCACATTTGTTTGAGTTTGTGATTAATCATTCATTATGGCATTGAATACAATTGACCCGGGTTATCTAAGCTCAGAATCAGTTGGATACTCATTTACATCACTGCCGCAGCGCTTCTCTCATAGAAATGGCCGGTCTGTCTTCTGACTCAATATATATACCATGTCAGAAAAGAGCTCCACTTACTGAGTGTCTTTTTCCTTCCCAAAATGAAGAGTGGAGAAGTCATGGACCTTATACAGTTCCACAGCACCCAGAGACAGCACCACTGAACTCAGAGGCCCATGAGTTTTCAGAAGCCGTTTGATATTTATTTTTTATTTATTTTTTTCAAAACTAGGGATGGAAATGGAAGGGTGGGAACAGAAGTGGAAAGCCCCTGAAGACAAAGTACTGTAACCTCCACCTTTAATTTTTACTTTCCCTCGTATGATTTTAAACATTGTCAGAGTTCTAGGCTGTTTGGAGAAGAGTTGAAGGTTCTTGGAATATCACTTAAAACATTGCTACTCCACTGCTAGAAATAGAATAAAATTAGGTTTCCTGTTTTTTAAGACTTGGCTTCAATAATTCTCTATCATGATAGCTAAAGCCATCATGTTTGAATGTAATTTGGAAGAAGAGTTTTGGGTTGGATTTTTATTTTCAGAACCTGAATGTATAAGATCTACCCCCTCTCTTTTAGTCTTCAGGAAAAGCCCTAAAACCTGGCTATGCCGACTGTCATGGGGCCCTGAAGGAGAAGCTTTTGGCTGGAGTTAGTTGGTGAACAAACAGAGAAGGCATCCCCAACTCTCTGCTCCATGTTTTTTAGTTTAATTTTTGTAATGTTAATTCATTTTATATTTATAATTGTTTAGATATTTGTATATTTTATCTCACTGTCTCCTGGAACTGTGAGATGGGGTAAATACATTTAATAATTTAATAATGCATGGAATAATAAAGTGCAGAAGGTTGGAAACATGCGGAAGAGGCCTTTATTCTGCACTAGATAGACAATGGCTTAAAAGATGATGATGAATAATATATGAGCATTTTGAATATGAATGATAGGCCCAAGTGTGTTTAGGAATGTTGTCATTTTCAAGAAATAAATATGCAAGAAAGCAAACAGCATTTTGGGAGATGAACATTGGATATTATCTATCCACTAGACTAGAGGATGGCAGTGGCATTTGTAGCAAACCACAGTTTCACTATCGTGATGATACATGCATGGTGATGTCATCACACACATGCTATTATACTTGCAACCCAGTTTCTGGTGCAACTATGAAAATCATGAGATATGTGTGTTGATGTTGTCACTCATGATTTTGTGATTTGCCTTTTCTTGCTCCTTAACTATGGAGTATTTGTCCCTTCAGTGCTGCAGCCCAAATTAATCTCTAACTTTAAATCAAAGCTAAAAATATTAATTGAAGATGCTGTGCATACCATTTCTTTCTTTTTAGCATGATAATGAATATACCGTGGTTCTTATTTTGAGTATTTCAAAGTACTCGAGCCTTTTTAAGTGTGCTATTTGGTTTGAAAAGAAAAGCACAGAAGTATTTTGAGCTTCATAGAAAAGGGTATGTTACTTATGATAAGACGTAGTTCACTTTAAAGCTGTCAAAAACAAAATGAATTGGTGTCAGTTTCATGTATACCTCTGTGAAAATGTGTTCTTGCAGTTTATGAGTCCTTTATGAGGTATGACCCTCTAGAGCAGAGGTCTCCAAACTTGGCAACTTTAAGACTTATGGACTTCAATTCCCAGAATTCCTCAGCCAGCTATCCTGGCTGAGGAATTCTGGGAGTTGAAGTCTACAAGTTTTAAAGTTGCCAAGTTTGAGGGCCCCTCCTCTAGAGGTCCTACCAGTACTAAATGTGGTAGCTACATCTGTCTTAATTTATAAATTATGGTAGTCTGTGGAAATTAAGATAGCTGAAGCCAAAAGTGACATCTATCTCTGCTGCTATTAATATGGCACTGTTGTCCAATCATGGAGACACTCATAATATAATATTGATTCTGAGTCTCAACAATCTGTAAAAAATTATGTACATGGTGATTGCAGTGAGAATAACTGGCTTTTTTTTCTATTTTCATTAGAATTCCATTCTGTCTGTGAAAGAACTTTGTGGCCTCCCACCAATTACCAGTCTGAAGCAATGCATTTTGACCTTGGTTTCACGGCTTGTGAACAGCGACAGTGTCCCTTCAGTGGTTCTCTGCATGAAGGACAACCTTCCTTATCTAGAACCATTGGGAACTCTGACAGATGTGCAGAAAAAGGTTCTAGCTGCTTATGACCAGGTTTGAGCTTACATATAGTTTTGTGGGTGTTTGTATTATGAAAAAATATTTGAATTTGAAAGAAGGAAGTAGGCCATTCCATCTGCCATGCGCAGTACAGAACAAGAGTATGCTCTATTAGATTTTCTATTAGTGTGGCAAAAACTAAGCTTTTTGGCAAAAGAAGTCCAATTCTCAGTCATATTTTAATAAGGGTTTTAACAACCGATCAACAAATGTTTTAAAGACCTAGATATATTTCGCTCACCAAAGAGAAGGTTAAAGAAGACTTGATAGGCATGTCCAAATATTGGAAGTGCTGTTGTGCAGAAGATATGAAAAGAGACAAGGTTAAACAAGATCAAACGCAGTAAATGGAAATTTCAGGAAGCACATTTTCACAGAACATTTATAGGTAGTTTTTAACATGATGAGTTTTTTTCCCCTCAGTGGAATAGACTATTTTAAATGCTGATACTTTTTTCTGGAAATATTTAAGCAAAGTCTGGGTGCTTTAATTATATTCTGCACTGAATGAGAATTGGAATAGTTTGTCTTGACATCAATATCCAATTTTTTGATTTTGTGATTCAAATTGTCACTGAGATTATGATGTTAGGACAGAAATGGAACTGCCAGCAGATTTAAGAAAAGATTTGGTATTAGTTCTAACAAAAAACACATCCCCTATTGGTAAGAAGGGAAATTTTGGGAGGTGGTGGGGAAGGCTAATAGGAGGCATGGAGAAATTGTGACAATGGAAGAGAGAGAGATATGCCTAGGAGATCCATGAACACCAGATAGCAGTTAATTATTTATTTAGGATTTGATGAGAACATGACAGAAAAGATAACTGTTAGAAGAAAGAATGAAAACTTCAGTATCACAACCCATTGACAATCTCAACCATAGTGGGAAATTATGAGAATCCTAAACTGCGCTAAATTAAAAAATGCCATCAAGCTTGGTATTCAGATAAATCAGAAATCAACAGACACATAGAAACAAACCAAATTTACACACTATTCAAAAGAGACAATTAAAAAAAGCTAAGAATGAAACCAAAAGACCAGAACACATCCTATCTATCACCCACCACTCATATACACAAGTATTAAAAACAGGCACAGAATCAATCAGAAAAATGATACCCTATCAAGGAACTACCAAGACTAAAATCACACCCCCACCAACATGGCAGGGCAAACCTTTGTAGGTAAACTGGGAGCAAACCCCACACTGATTCACACTGAGGATGTTACCTAGTTGGTAATGAAATGTCTGCAGCCAAACAATTAAGTTCAGAGAGCACCCAGGACTCTACAGTAATGTAGATTTTGTATGTGTTGCCTTCTTTTTTATGATTATTCCACAGTAATGTGTATCTTTCACATTGCCTCATGACGTGTTTTTTAAAAATGTGGGCTAGTCAAAATGCCAATCATTATTATATTTATTTATTAAATTTATATGCTGCTCATTTCAGTGATAAGGTGATTCTGGATGGCTTAGAGATGATAAAAAGATGAATATAGAAACAATTAATTTTTTTAAAAGTTACATAATAGCTAATACTAAGCAGATGGATTACATGAAGGTGAGATCTTCTTATGCTATCAACCATGTCCAGCAAGGAAGTCCTCCATTGGGGTCCCAAGCCAACTGGCAAAACCAGATTTTAACCCCGCCCAGAAGACCAGAAGGGTGGGAGCGGATATCACATCTGACAGTAAAAGATTCCACAGGGAGGGGCTACAGCAAAAAAAGTCTCTTCTCCTTGACATTGCAAGCTGAAATTAACAGTCCATAGCCCCTTCTGCTGAAGGGAATGGGACAGGGTAAGCCCCTTGGGGCAAGGCATCTCCTCAGATTCCCTGGACCCATGCCATATACAGTAGAACCTCTGATCACGAACAATTCTGACCATGACCAAATCAGGTTCTGACCAAAACATTCACAAAATTTTTGAATCTGGTCATGAACACATACTTGGGTGGCGATCAGACACGACCCCTCACCCAGAAATTCCTGAAGACGAAACATTAGAAGAAGAAGAAATCGCCAAAATTATGGAACAAATTATGGTCGTGACCAGAGGTTCTACTGTTCATTTATTAAATTTATATGCTTCCCTCTTACTATTGAAGTGACTCTTATACAAGTACATATAGTCAGGGGTGGGTTGCTACTCACTGGTTCAGGCAACCCAGTAGCTAATTTTATGGCCAGTTCGGTGAACTGGCAAATCCAACCCCTGTCTGGCCCCGCCACTCCCACCCCACCCCGCCCTGCCCCTCCCAGGAGTCCCCATGCAGCCTGTTTTGGATTACAGGTAAGTGCAGAGACTCGAGGAGGGTGAAAAATGGGCCTCCCGGAAGTTCTGGCCTCCAGAGAGCCTCCGGAACCTGGGGAGGCCATTTTTGCCCCACACGGAGGCTCGAGGAAAGCCTCTGGAGCCTGAGGAGGACGAAAACGTCCCTCCCACAGCCCATTTTCGCTCTCAGGCCAGAGTGGTGGAGGCCGATTAAGTCACACCCACCATGGCTCTCTGGAGTCCAGAACTTCCGGGAGAACCAGATGCTAAATTTTTTAAAGCCCACCCCTGCATATAGTCCTCACCTTACAAACACAATTGGGTACAGAATTTATGCTGCTAAGCAAGACAGTTGTTAAGTAATCTGTGCCGGATTGTACAACTATTTTTTAACCATGGTTGTTAAAGCAAATTACTACAGTTGTTAACTGAATCATGCAGTCATTAAATGAATCTGACTTCCTCCATTCACTTTGCTTGACAGAATGATTGCTGGGATGCTGCTATCATTGTAAATACATGGTGATTGCCAGCCAAATTTTAATCACATGACTATGGTGATACTGTGACAATCATAAGTGTGAGGACTAAGTCAAGGCTGTTGTAACTTTGAATAGTCACTAAATGAATGGATGTAAGTCGAGAACTACCTACATTCAGAAAATGTTACAAGAAGGATCAGACCTGGGTCCTTTTATGGTTTAGTATTTTTTGGTGGTTTTGGATGAAGAGGTGGTAGAAATATTTATGAAGTTTGCAGATAATACAAAGCTGAATAGTATAGAAGTCTAGAAAAATACTCTAGAAGTCTGAAAGAAAACACAACTAAAATAATAAAATAGAAGAAAAAAGCTTTAGTGTAGGGACAATGCCACAAGTGATGAGGACACAGTTATTCCTATCGTTTTATCCAAGCTCCCATTTTAAAAAATAATGTTAAGATTGCAGCTCGGATATTTTATATATATATATAGTAATTGGCATATTCTTGTTATTTGCAGAGATTTATGATAGATCTGATGTTTTAGATTGTAGAATGTGATTTTGATTTTATTGTTGCCTTGAATTTTCTACTCCGAATTGCCACAGACTTGACCAGAAGCAAGCAGGATAGAAATATGATTGATAAATCACCAAAACTAATTTTTTTCTAAACCCGTGATCTCCAGTCTGATTTATAGGTAATAGACAGCACACCAAACTTACATATCAATGGAATTAGAAAAATATACTTCTCATTTATTTATAACTAAATATTGGCACATAATAAAATGTCATGTTCTCCTCTCCTCCCACCCACCCTCACCCCTAGTAATTCCTCTGATATTTCCAGAATTTAGATTAGGTAGGCAGGGGATTCTAAAATCAAATTTAAATAAAAGGCAAAGAAATGCATCCTATGCACATCTCGATATAAATGCACATCTCGATATAAATGCAATGAGAAAGCATGTGATTAACAATCACCTGTCATTTAGGAGTTGACTGAAATACATCAGTCCAAACTATTAAACACTATAGAAATAAACTAAAATAAATCAAAACTCATTTCAAAAAATGCCAAGAAGCTATTTTAAAACTTACTTGACAGCCAGTGAAATTATAGCTGCTAGGTCTTGCCTGGTTTGAGTTGCAGCAAGAACATCAGTTAAAAATCTGTTATTGGTGGCTGCATATAAATACAATCTCATTGTGCAGTATAGTGAGAAGAATAATCTGTAATATGTTGGTAAAGTAGCTTTTAAAATCTTAGCTTCCATGTTTATCAAGAAAACATAACACATGTTTAAAAAGGGGCGAAAGAAATCCATTTAATTCATATATGAAGATGACCCTATCTACTTTTAATTTTTTTAACAATGTAAAAGTTAATATTCAAAATTCATACTTCCCTGCAATGCAGTTTATAAACAATTTAAAGATGCATGTATTCAGAATGTACAAAATCCATGTTAGAGACTGTTCTTTATAAAATTACATAAACTGGGCCATTTTTAAAACTTAGAAATGCATATACTTGCATTGAGAAATACATTGTATACTACATGAAAATTTTAGTACAAACTTTAAAAAAAAAACAACCAAATGGTTGATTAATAGAATTTCATAAATTGCAAACGTGACAAGATGAAAAAAAATAATCCTATTCGTATTGGAAGTAAATGTCAAATGCTTTGATCATAGTGAATAGGAGGCAGCGGCTTCATTGTTCCCATCCGAGTTACATTCTATCTTAAATCTTTTCTTGGTTCTGCGCTATAGCTAGAATGAAGAGTTCAGTTGCTGATATGGTAGACTTTTAAAATTCTTTGCTTCAAAATTCTGTTTAGTATTGGGATGAGAAAATGATTTTAGGATGGGCGTGCACCAACAAGCCTCCTCACCTATCCATGCACTATGGTGCAAATTGTCCTCCGCACCAGTTTGTGATTGGCTGCAGAGCTAGGATCATACAGGCGGAGGCCCAGGTCCACTTTCAAGCCAAGGAAGTTTGCTAGGAGATTTTAGGCCACTTGCTCTCTTTTACCTCAGACTACCCTTGAGATAGGTTGCTGGGTTAAAATGAGAATAGCACTCAAGGTGGTTTACAATAAACACAGCACATACTGAGACAAAATAAAAATACCTCACAGGGTTGCTATTGTGGGAAAATAGGTGGCAGGAGTATTAGAGCTACTCACCACACATACAAACACACAAAGGGACAGAGACAGAGACAGACACACACACACACACACACACACACACACACACACAGAGAGAGAGAGATATTAAAAATCGAATCATCATAATCCCATCCTCCGCTTTATTCCAAAATGGAGAGAAGATAATTTGTAGGCAAGATTCTCATTTTTTTTCGTTCTTTGAGATCTTTGTAGAAGATATGGGGTTATTTGGAAATGACTGGGCAACATTTTTAAGATTTGCTTATCTAGCAGGAGGATTGGACTAGAAGACCTCCAAGGTCCTTTCTAACTCTATTAATCTGTTATTTATTTAATGTATAATATTTATTTAATTGGTTAATACATTAATGTTTAAGCCAGAATATAGTTTCTTAACTAATTTAAATCTTCTGCCTCTACTTTTGTTGCATGTATGCTATATATTTTAGCCATTGTTTTTAACTTAACATAGTGTTTGGATGCAGTTTTGGAAAAATATTGTTATAAAGGACAGCATGTACATTTTAAAAGTAGAAATAATGTATTATAGCAGTGAAGTGATGGTTATACTCTACCATGAAAGTTCCTAAATATCATCTATTTTAAATTAAATAAATTCATTAATGAATAATTAAAAAACAGGCTTTACAAAAGAGGGAATTTGAAATGGTCTATATGAACTCCTCCTTCTCTCACAGATGTAGGGACTGTGCATAAATGGCATATCATCCTGATATAAAGACAAATGTGTTGACACAATACAATATTTTTCTCTTTATTACAATATTATGTATTGTGTAGAACATTGGACTGTGTTATAAACATGATCAACACTGTACTATACCAGAGCTGTGTGAAAATACAGGCACGTAGCCTGGGCTGCTGGCCACTGAAAACCCTTTTTTATAGCTCCCCAAACTCTCAGAAATTATGCTTTCACATTTCAGGGGCTCAATGCCAAGAAATAAATGCTATTTCCCGTTGTTTTTCAGCTGTCCTGTATATGCACGAAAGAGCAGGAGCTGCAAATTTTTCCCATGGAAGCTGCAGTTATGTTGTAAAAATACTGCATTTTCCTACCACTCAAATGTATACTTTTTAAAAATATCGTAACACAAATGCCTTTTAAAAACTCCCAGGGAGTGTACACTTTGCTTGCTAGAATGTTGTATGGAATGTGATTGAGCAAGACTCTCGGTGCCTATTAATACTTTCACCAGGACATGGCTTTCTCTCTTGATTTTTGAACTTTTATTTTGTCTTCCTTTCTTTTATGTTGTGATAACAATTATTGGAGGCCATATGCTCTCTTATTAAGTAACAATATTTTGTCATCCATTCAGTAACCTTTTTTAAAAGTGACAAACTGTTTACAAGATTCCCCACTTTCTCCTAAGGAAGAAGAGAGAGATTATCTGCTACTAAAACTCTTGTTGTCATGACCTTTAATTGACCAAAATGGTGCCTCATAGGGCAACAAAATTTTGAATCAAGGTACAAGGTACAAATGGGCTAATTTACAGAATGTGTCCAAAATCTGGGACCCCTAATTCCCAAGGGATTGAAATTTGTGCTACTGGCTTCTGCTTCAGTCAATCAATCAGTTTCTCTAAGGTCCCAAGAACCAAGAAAGACACATGGAACTGCTTCTGAGCCGTTTTCTTCATTGTTCCTCATATGTAGTCAGAAAACTTGCCTCAAACTAAAGCAATTATTTGCACCACTGTACATATGCACTGAGAATTGTTAGGGAGGATCTCTAACTCTTTCTCCCAACCATACTGCCTAAGCTTCACTGCCTCTTTGATGATGAAATGCATCCCCTCTCTCCTAAGAATCCAGATCACATTCCACTACAGTTTCCCATCCAGTCTTGTAATCAGGGGTGGGATTCTACCAGTTCACACCTATTCGCTAGAACTGGTTGTTAACATTCTAAGCAGTTCGGAGAATCGGTTGTTAGAAGAAATTACTGGCCTAATCCTGTAAGGAAGGCAGGAAGGAAACATTCTGGTGTTGCTTACAGAAACTGCCTCTCCGTTAACCCTTATTACATTCTTGGGCAGGACTAGATTTCCTGTCTCAGGAACGTCTCTGGAGGTTTTTCCCCCCTCCTTTGCTGGTACTTTGCTTGTGTGGAGTGACCATTCAAAGTTACAATGGCACTGAAAAAAGTGACTTATGACCATTTTTCACACTTACGACTGTTGCAGCATCCCCACACTCATGAGAGGCCAGGCGAGGAGATGCGTGCCTTGATGTGAGTGATATTGAGTTGGCCACGCCCAGCCAATAACATGACCACCAAGCCATGTCCACCTAGTTACATGACCACCAAGTCACGCCTACCACCTAAGCTACGCCCACAGAACCGGTTGTTAAAAAAGTTGAATCCCACCCCTGCTTGTAATCCCTCACTCTCTCTCTCACCCAGCAGCAGCCACTTACTTGCCTGCTTGGAAGGGGAGGGGAGGGAAGATTTGCAGTGCTCTCTGCCAGATTCCCACAGACTCAGTGGGGAAGCTGGCAGGAAATCAGTGCCCCTGCTCCCACTGCTTTTTCACTCACCCTTGGTCATTCTGTTTCTCTGTTTCTATAAGAAAATATCTCTGAAATGATGATCCAACAGGGCATGACTGTCTAGTAGCCTTTAATTCCTTGGAGTTCTACATTCTAATTCCCCCACCCCACCAATGTGTATGTGCATGTATCCTGTTTAAAATGGGGGCAAGATAGAAGCAGTCTCACATGCTACTGACTTTGTTATATTAAATGAGCACTGGTTAATATGCATTTTTTTTTTGCTAAATATTACAAAGGCTCACTTTCAAGTCCCATAGTTTTGGATGAAACAAATCCCAAAATATTACATTTATCCTCATGTGGGTGATTGTTACTGAATAGGACTTGTCTCTTCCTTGCCTCCCAAATTTGCTCTGAAGGATTACTTAATATGAAAAACATTAATATGGGGACCATATTGAGGGCTCACCATGCACGGAGGATTCCATTCCCCATGTAGCTTGATGTACAACTTGTTTAGAATTGTTCAGAAGCTTTGTAATTTTCTCCAGCCTACTGCTATTACTTGTTACATTTCCTCCTAATTGTCAGGATAATATCTACTTGACATAAACAAAGGTTCATTGTATTTTCTTCTTCAGTGCCCTTTGCATTGGTTATTGAATGGCAAACATTTTACAGAAATGAAAAAACAAACTTTTTGACATGCTTGTATTATGTTGAACATCAAATAGTTGTGATAGAAATGATCAAACTGACATTTCCTTGTTTGATTTTCTCTAACAGATGATTCAAGAGAGCAAGTTTCTTGTAGAAACAGCAGATACTGTTTACGACAAAATAATTCAGTGTCAGAAAGCAGGTAATACTCTTTGATTAATGTGTATTATAATAAATATGTCAAAGAAACGGTATGTATCATAAGGAGCCCAAACATTTCAAAATAGATTTGTTTTACCATGGGGCATTAAATTTTTAAAACTTGGATTTGAGATTTTTTTTTCATTTCTATATTACAGTTTTCTTAACACATTTTTAAAATTTCTTGCAAGGGTAGTAGCTAAAGAATTGGAAGTGAGGTGGGGCTGAAAATTTCTCAAAAAGTGTACATGCGTTATAATTTGTCCTGAGAAGTTAAGAAGTTAAGAAGATCACTTAAATATGAGCCAGCAGTGTGCAGCTACTGCCAAAAAGGCTAATACAATCCTTGGTTGTATAAACAGAGGCATAGAAACAAAATCATGTGAAGTATTAGTACCAATTTATAAATCCTTAGTAAGGCCACATCTGGAATACTGCATCCAGTTTTAGTCACCACATTACAAAAAAGATGTTGAGACTTTGGGAAAAGTGCAAAGAAGAGCAACTAAGATTATTAAAGACCTTGAAAAATATGAAGAAGGGTTGCAGGATTTGGGTTTGTCTAGTCCAGAGAAAAGAAGAGCTAGGGGGTGACATGATAACAGTATTTCAGTATTTGAGAGGTTGCTACAAAGAGGAGGGGGTCAATTTTCCAAAGCACCAAAGGACAGGACAAGAAACAATGGTTGGAAACTAATCAAAGAGGGAAACCACCTGGAATTAAGGAGAAACTTCCTAACTGTGAGGACAATTAACCAGTGGGACAGCTCGCCCTCAGTTGTGGGTGCTTCATCACTGGAGATTTTTAAGAGACTGGACAGTCACTTTTCCGATATGGTTTAAGGTCTCCTGCTTGAGCAGGAGGTTGGACTAGAAAACCTCAAAGGTCCCTTCCAGCTCTATTCTGATTGAAGTTCAATTGCTGGCATGTAGGAATGACTCCTATTTGAAATCTGAAGTCAGGTGAGTGAAAAGTGGATTTCTACATTCTGAGTGACAAAATATTGTGTTTTTCTGCAGCACAGAAAAACAATAATCAATAAATACTGATTGAAAGTTCAGTACTGAGCTTTTCAATTAATGCACAGGTCACATAAAGCTAACCCCTTTCTTAAGGATGGGTTTAGTATTAGTATGATCCCTGGATTGGTAAATGAATTTGTCTACCTATATTAAATAGAAGATGTTACCCAGGCCATGTTCATCTGGCATTTAAACTCATACTTCAGCATAACATTTTTAAAGATTAATCATTCAAAAAAATAATTGCTGCTTACTCCTTAAGATCCCATATGTGATTTTGACTGATTGTTTAATGTTTGGATTCCTCATCATCTGCTGGTGTCCTGTACACATTGCTATTCCTGGATGAAAGGAAAACAACATTAAACCTTGGACATGCAGACGTCTTCCTTTCTTCTCCAATTACCAAGAGGAAATTGCCAGATTCTTTCCCTTTCAGTTTTAGTCAGTCATGGGGTCATTTGGATCAGGAATTGTAGCTAGCACTAATCATTTGGAATGAGTTTCTTTAAAATTGTGTGTGGTTAATATTAATCCTTTTTTGTTACACCAAACAAACCTACTCTATTTAACTACAACACGTGGTAAAGCTTTAAAGTCTTAGTTCTGCCCATGCAGGTAATAAAAAAGAACATAGAGCACATCCCAATAGCTTGCTGAAACATATTGTACAGTAATCATGTGTGCTACACTAAGCTGTTGTTTAAACATCCCTTTACAACTTTCTAAATAAATAAATAACTAGGTGGTGAAATTTCATTACAAGATCCCATGTAGAATATTGTGCAGTAATTAGTAGAACCAGTTAGTGAAGTGTAATAATAGTGAGACATAATTCCTAAATCTTGAAGGGAATTAGGCTATGGTTTATATTTTTCACATGGTCCACCCTTACCATTAACATTCTCTTTCTGATCAAACAAGCAGAAATAAAACAACTTTCACAAGTATTATACAGAGAGATAAAAAGTATAAGAATGAAACTTATTTCTTTAAGCCATGTTTTATGAATACTTTATCAAGTTCATAAAACATGCTAAATCATGAACAATTAAAATGACAGTGGCTCTTTTCACTACTGCACACTAAGTTTGACTTCCCAGACTTGGGAATTCTGGGAATTGTAGTCCCAACACATCTGGGAGGTGCTAGGTTGGGGACTGAAATGTTAAGAGAACCCAAATAAACTAATTTTTTGCTCAGTGTAATTTGTGGAATCCTCAATTGTCATTCTGAAAAATTAGTCTCTAGTGAATTAGCATTTTAAATAGTTTCATTTTATCTGCAATGTGCTACTCAAGAAATATGACTTATAAAATATAAAATGTTAAAAGCCTTTCTCTTCCTAAAAGCTACTGTATGTGTGTGCATTTTGAGTCACATAATTGGGTTAGAGATTACTCTAATTAAAAGTAGCATGTCTTTAATTAAATAGATTTTCATTAATTTAAGCTTTACAAGTGTCTGTAACAAGCTGATTACTTTGTTAGAAACATGCTTAAATGGACTTAATTACACTTTATCAACCAGATTAATATCACTGTAACAGTTTAAAAAGACCCAGGTCATACAGTATAACTATGGCTTGCCTTGAATTGATTTTAGTGAATCCAGTATTTAGCATACTTCCTGCATACACTGGATAAAAGTAATTGCTTGCACTACTGTTCGTTTTCATTTTGTTCTCAGCAATTAAACTTTTAATTTTTTTCAGAAGGAAATAAACAAAAATAAATAATTATATGGGAGACTGGCAGACCTGCAAATGGAGACTATGATTTTTCATGAAGCTTTGGGACAATCCTCATGTCTTTTGTGATATTCAGTGTTTGAGGAGGATAAAACACTAAGTCAAATAGAAGTTAGGGATTCAGAAGGATCATGAATTGAAGGAAAAGAGATGATTTGAAACATGGCAGACGTGTGCATAGCACTTCTTAGAAATATCTTTAAACCAGAGACATCAGTGCTGTTGCTTTAAGGTATACTTGACAGATGCAAACCTCAAATCAGCCTTTTCCCTTCCAATTCAGAAAACATGATCAGGCACATTAACAGAAAACAAACTACGTGGGTTGAATTAAAAGGAATATTTCCAGTGTTTTCAGTTGCCAGCAAATGGCTCTACTAACACCCTAAAAGCTCCGACATGTTCTTTAGAATCTGCTTCTTTGTTTCAGTTGGTGGGAAACTACTGTTAAAAAAAAAAGTCACTATTCATGAAATGAACCTTCAGTATTCTTTTAGTAGTGCTCCATAATTAAATTTTTGACTGCTGAAAAAGTTCCTCCAACTGAAATTTGTCACTGAATGCATGTTGTTTATTATGATGTATTGACTGTACTGTGCATTGCTGGTCCAAAAAATGCAAGAAGGTGTTAGATATTCAGTGGGGAAAAGTCAGTGATGTCAGACTTCCCCCATTGGTTCATTTTCCAGGGGGGAAAATGAACAGCCGACAGTGGCTGAAATTGTGGACAGCAGCCTGTAAAAAGAACAGCAGGCACACCGGACGGCAGTCTTTTGTTCAGAGCTAAATAAAGACATCCTTTTCTTCTACTGTTGTCCTGCCTCTTCAATCTAGCCCATATCTAACACTGGCGATGAGGGTGGGATTCTAGAAGAGAACAAAGGAAACGAGTCGAAGACAGAAAATTCCAATGCTGCTATCGTCATGCTGATCATCAGAATGTCCACCCACGGTCAACCAGAACCTTTTGATCCAAAAAAGCATGACTGGGTCACGTACATGGGACAATTTCGAATGATTTTAGAAGCAAATTCACTGCAGGATGCAACAGAACAGAGGAAGAGAGCTCTATTCCTGGGATATTGTGGAAATCGCCTCTACAAAATGGCTAGAACCCTAGCTGCTCCCAAAGATGTGGAAACAATGGAATGGAAAGAATTACAGAAGATGTTAGAAGAACATTATGCTCCTGCTGCATCGTCACTGGCTCACCGACTTGACTTTTACTGCAGAGAACAGAAACCAGGTGGGAACATAAATGATTACCTTACAAACCTACGAGATATTACTGCAGGCTGTGAGTTTGAAAATGTGGAAATAACTTTAAGAGATAGAATTGTAGTTGGAATGAGGGACCTGAGATTGCAAAGGAAGCTGATAACTAAAAAGAGCATCTCTTTAAAAAAAGTAATAGAGGAAGCCCGAGCAGCAGAAATCTCGGAAAAACCAGCAGCTAAAATTGAGAAATCCAAGAGCGTTCACTCAGCATGGGGGACGACCAGCAAATATCAGGGAGAGGGGGAGATTGGAGAACTCTCCAAAGAAGAGGAGGAAGAAACACATAGAGTAAAACCTGATAGAAGATCAGGGCCCCAAGGGACGAGCCAGAGACCCCTATGGTGTGCAGGCTGTAAAGGGAACCACCCCCGGGCGGTTTGCAAATTCAGGGATACAATCTGCCGCCGATGCAAGAGAAGGGGGCATATTGCTGAAGCATGCAGAGCAAATCTGCCAGCATACCCCAGGCAGAGACAAGCAGGGTTCCCTAATCATCCACGTGGCCCACAACAAAGGGGATTCCAGAGACCTCCTCATTCAAATTACAGGAGGGAAGAGAATAGAATGGAGAAGGACAGAGACTAGGAACACACAATAATGGGGCATTCTGATCACCATAAATCAAAGAAATTCAACATCACAGTGATAATAGGAGAAAAACCTTGTGTATGGAAATTGACTCCGGATCCTACATATCTATAGTGTCCTGGACAACTATAAAAGAAGCAATCCCTGGCATAACTCAACAACAACTAAAACCACAACGTTTAATACTAAAAGATTTCCAAGGGAACATAATTCCTGTGTTAGGAAGAGGAATTTTTCCAGTAAAATTCAGAAACTTCACCGGTGAATTGCCTTTAACCATTGTGGACAAAGAAGTGCCAAGCCTCCTTGGAATAGAATGGTTTAGAGCCATCCACACCACGTAAGTGGAGGCTCACAATCAAATGAGAGAGGACCTGCAGACTGAATTCAAGGATGTGTTCGACGGAACCCTAGGCAAGTATAAGGGGACCCCTATTTCCCTCAACCTTGATCCAAAAGTACCCCCTATCAGAATAAAACCAAGGCGAGTCCCTTTCTCCTTGAGACCCAAAGTGGATGAACAATTAGATAAACTCATAGCCCAGGGAGTACTAGAGCCAGTTGATCATGCTAAGTGGGAGACCCCTATAGTCACTCCAGTTAAGCCAGATGGGTCAATCAGAATCTGTGCTAATTATAAAATTTCAATTAATACTGCATTGCAACAGAGCGCATACCCAGTTCCAGTTGTACAACATCTATTGCATTCAATAGGAAAGGGGAATTTTTTTTGCCAAATTAGACTTGGCTCAAGCCTATCAGCAGTTACCTGTGGATGAAGAAACAGCAGAAGCTCATACCATTGTAACACACAGGGGTGCTTTCAAATGCAAAAGACTGCAATTTGGGGTCAGTGTAGCCCCTAGACTATTTCAAAGCTTAATGGAACGCCTACTACAGGGCATTGTGGGAGTGGTACCTTATTTTGATGATGTCCTTGTGGCAGCAGAGGACAAAGAACAACTTAAACAAAGACTAAGGCTAGTCTTGAGCAGATTTCAAGAAGCTGGCCTTAAACTCAAAAAAGAGAAATGTCACATAGCAGTAGCAAGTGTTGAATTTCTGGGATATCTAATTGATGAGGCAGGTATACACCCCACTGATAGTAAAATAAAAGCAATTAAGGAAGCTCCCACTCCAACAAACAAAACAGAATTACAAGCTTTCCTGGGACTTTTAAACTTTTACAGTATTTTTCTACCACAGAAAGGGACAGTTGCTGAACCACTTCACAGACTTCTTGATAAAAATGCAGAATGGACTTGGGGGCACAGAGAAGCAACTGCTTTTGAATCCATAAAAGGACTCCTAACTTCTAACAGTGTTCTAGTACAATACAATGAAACATTACCTCTTTCACTAATATGTGATGCATCTCCTTTTGGGGTAGGGGCCATTCTCAGCCATAAATTCCCGAATGGCAGAGAAGCACCCATTGCTTTCTACTCAAAAACTTTATCCAAAGTTGAATGGAATTACAGCCAGCTATATAAGGAAGCACTGGCTGTAGTAGCAGGCATTAAGCGTTTTCACGAATATCTTTATGGGAGACAATTTGAACTAGTCACAGACCACAAACCACTCCTAGTCATCATAACAGGAAACAAACCAACACCAAACATATTGTCCCCTAGAATGACAAGATGGACTGTTTTCTTAGCTGCATATAACTATTGCCTTATACATCGACCGGGCAAGACCATCACTCATGCAGATGCTCTCAGCCGTTGCCCCCTTCCGGAACCTGTTGAAGACCCAGCTCCAGCCACATCCATACTCTTCATTGAAGACATTGCCACTGGCCCTATCACAGCATCAGAGATAGCCAAACACTCAGCCGAAGACAAAACTCTGACACGTATTTTAAACTGGGTGTTGAGGGGATGGCCAGAAGAAGTGCTGGAAGGTGACTTTAAACCATTTAAAATTCCGCAAAATGAACTGTCTGTAATTAAAGGGTGTTTGTTGTGGGAGGATAGAGTTGTGATACCTGAGACTCTGAGAGAACAAGTCTTAAGAATGTTGCATGAGGGCTACCCAGGGATGGAAAGAATGAAAGCATTAGCCAGAAGTTATACTTGGTGGCCGGGAATGGATAAGGAAATTGAAAAATGGGCTGCAGGTAGTACGCCTTGTCAGGAATCTAGACCCACATCCCCTTCAGCACCAACCCTAGAATGGGAATCACCAAAAACACCTTGGTCTAGAATACATATAGACCTGGCAGGGCCAATGCAGGGGCAAACATTTCTAATAACTGTTGATGCATATTCAAAGTGGGTGGAAGTAGCGATCATGAAAACCACCACAGCAGATGCTGTGATTAAGGTATTGAGGAAATTGTTTGCCACACATGGGTTACCAGATGTGGTATCAGATAATGGGCCCCAATTCACAGCAAACAATTTTGAATGTTTCCTAGTTGAACAGAGAATCCGCCATGCATTATCAGCACCTGGACACGCCCAGAATAATGGGCAGGCAGAGAGAGCCGTAAGGTCCATGAAGGAAACCTTAGCAAAAATGGGACCACGGAATTGGCAAATGAAAATAGACAAATTCTTAATGATACAACATATCACACCTTCGGCCACCACACACAGAAGTCCAGCAGAACTTTTAATGGGGCGGAAGTTAAGATCAGAGCTAGATAGATGACAACCAATCCAAGCACACCCGCAAATTCGACGAGTAAATGCAGATATTTGAACATAGGTCAATCGGTCTATGCTCATAACTATGCAGGGGGGACCCCATGGGTTCCTGCACAAGTAGTGCAAGTCACAGGCCCCCGATCTTATAGAGTAGAACTAGAAGATGGGAAAATATGGAGCAGACACATAGACCAACTCTGGGGACGATTGGAACAGAATCTGAACGACCAGAAAACCTCAGAAACAGAAACACAACATAGAGAGGTAAAGACCAACCCTAACAACTACAAATACTGAAAACACAAGCCTCCCCACTCTAGGGTGGGCCTCAAACTCAAGTACACCGCAGGATAATTTAGCTGAAGGGGGGGGGGATCCAGCAAAGAAACTCAGAGCCCTCTGTTCCGTCAGAGCCAGCCCCGCCCCTGAAAAACCCTGAGGCTGGTTCTGGAGTGACAACAGACCCAACTAGTCAGGTTGCCACTGCTGGGGGGCGGTGAACTGCGAAGGTCCAGTCGCACTCACAGGAGTCCCTCCTACCTATGTGATTATGTCTGTGAGTGAGAGCTGATCGGAGGAATGCTTCTTCCAGGAGGGGAGGGGTGTTAGACATTCAATGGGAAAAGTCAGTGATGTCAGACTTCCGCCATTGGTTCATTTTCCAGGCGGGAAAATGAACAGCCGTCAGTGGCTGGAATTGTGGACAGCAGCCTGTAAAAAGAACAGCAGGCACACTGGGCGGCAGTCTTTTGTTCAGAGCTAAATAAATAAATCCTTTCCTTCTACCGTTGTCCTGCCTCTTCAATCTAGCCCATATCTAAGAGAAGGTAAACCAAGAAGAGCAGTTTCATGTGATTAAAGAAAAAGGAAACAATCTGTGATATTAACCATTACATTTCATATAACTAAGTCTGATTAAGGATATTCAACATATCACTCAAAGAGAAATTACTGTCCAGCTTGACATTTCACATAAAAGTATGGGTCACAAAATTGATGTGTTAAAAAGTTAGTAACAAGATGTGTTCTTTGCATGCCAGCAGTAGAGATAAAAGTTTCAAAAATTTAAATTTGCCAGCAAATTTACTGGCAAATTTACTGTCATGCTGTGATAAGGAAGAAGAATTGCTTCAAAGTATTGTGACAGCCATAAAACACAGGCTCATTATTATGACCCAGAAATGAAGCTTCAGCCCATGGAATATAATCACAAAGCCTTACCTAGAAGTGGAGATGGGGAAATTAAAACCCAGGAAAATTCATGGTCATAGTCTTTTGGGGATGAGATACATAATTCACATGGATTTTCTTGAACCTGGCACCACTTATCAATTAAGTGCTGTACTGCATCACACAAAACTTCAGTATGATTGAAAATAACTCAAATTTGGAAGTATAAGGAGGAAAATCTTTTGCAATATGAAAATGCTAGGTCTCACACTTTAACAAATCACCCAAGAGGCCATTTCAGTTGCAAAGTGAATCTCATTGTGTTACCCTATCCACCAAATAGCTCAGACTTGGCATTATACAACTTCTACATTCCCCAAAATTGAATACCTTTGCAAACATCAGCTAGATTCAAATGAAGAGGTGGAAAAGACAATTAGGACTTAGCTGAAAAAGGTTATTTTGTTATGGTTTTATGAACATTGTTCATTGTTGGCAGAGTCAAGTAGAGAATGGTGATGATTATGTGGAGAAGTATTGTAAATACTGGCAACAAGAAAGCTCATTCCAAGGATTATTTTCTTGTTTCATTTATTCAAGTATTCCCATTTAAACTGAAGTTATGGAGCCATTAGTTTTCATTCACCCTTTGAAGGTTATTTACTTACTTACAAAGTTGTGGGACCTAAAGTATTGCTGCAAATAAATGGTTCTAGTTTTTTGTTATATTGGAGCATATTGGTTATAAATTAATTATTGTTTTATTAAAACATGCTTTTAGGCAGGGAAACCTCTGATCATCAAGAGCGAAGTTTGAAGGCACACAGATTTTGCCAGCATCAGATTGATTAACTATTGTCTGTAAAATGTCATGGATCAATAATAAACAGTCACAACTTTTCAAAAAATTTACTTTCCTTCAATAACTGCTTGTAATTACTGTGCCCCATATTTTGTTAGGAATGGAGCTCCATGAAGAACTACACAACTTAGGAACAAAGGAAGGCTTGAAAGGAAGAAAACTCAGCAAAGCAATTGAGAGTTTTGCGTGGAATATCACTGTGCTGAAGGTAAATGTAAACTGAACTGTTTTCCTTCGGTAAAAAGTCTGTTTTGGCTATGTGAGATACTGACACAGTTTTTTTCTCTCTCCGCAAACAAATCAGGAGTATTGATATTTACAGATAACAACCTACTAAAGTAATTCTTAGTCAAATAAAAGTTTATTGGCTTGGGTATAGTACAGTTCAAACCAGAATCAGTTGTTTTGCCTCTATGGATACCAAGGAGAAGGCTTCTGTTTTTTGTGCAACAAAATTACTTGAGAGACTGACTTCCTCTCCTAGGTCTACCATGCAGTACCTAGGAAATTAGATCACATTAGATTAACAAGAGTTGGAAGGGACCTTGTAGGTCATGATCTTCTTTGTTGCTAGATATATCCACAGTGCTTTCATGCCACCAGTAGCAACCTGTCTGTGTCTTACATAAGCAGACAAAACCTGCTTGTTTGCAATTGTTGAAAGCAGTTTTTTTGAGGAATGTGTGTGTTTCTCTCCTGCTTTGCCTTTCTATTTCTGTCAAGTGCTTCTGAATAAGCATTGGTCTTTGGTGTTCTTTCCAGAAAAGAAATATTGATTGGTACTATTAGGACATGTAATGTCTATGCACTTCGTGACATAGCCTGCTAAAGCGTTGCTCTTAGAAAATAACAGAGAACCTGCCTCTTTGAAGCCATTTGTTTTGGCTCCTACATTTGGTGTGCAACCAAAAGGGATCCACAGCAAAAATATTATTTCAACTCATGTAGATGTAACTTCAGATGTAACAGTATTATCATAGCGCTAAATGTAGATGGACTCACCAAATCTAAAATATTGTGAGAGAAAAAAAGAAATTTTGTTGCCAAGGCAGTTGCATTCTGCATCACTCCACTGTCTGTAGAAAAAGGAATACATTCCTGTCATGATGGCTTTGTTTTGAACTCCCCTCCAGGGAGGAGAGGAGCACTTTCAGATAAGACAAAAATGTTTATATAGCTCACTTTTTCTATTTGATTCTTACTATTATTAATTACTTTGCTGAGTGTGGACAAAATTACTTGATTGGATTGTGAGTTATTATTGCCCGAGTCTGTAACTCATCACAGGTCAAAGTATCAAGTTTTTAAAATTTAACCAGTTTTGTGGTTAAATGTACTATTACAATTGGAAAAAAAATCTCCTGTTGTAGATGATTTGTGTGTGCTGTGGAGCATTCATTAGAGAGACTGGAGCCCCAAATGGCAATATGTTTTCCTAATATCCAAGCGAGAATCAGATTTTATGAGGAACACACGTTTCTGTTTTTGATCACATAGTATACAGACCGTCTCCTTTAAATATCCAGTTACCTCAATGGAAAGATATGCTTTCTGTGGAGAAAAAAATGATCAAATTTGTTTCAGAGTAAGAATGCATACGATTGCACCATAATTAGTTATTGTTTTCCCCATTCATCTTCTGGATTCAAAACAGTTTCTAGGGGAAAAAAGATTAGGAAATGACTTTTCTTGGGAATGCAACAGCCAATATGAATGCTTCCAGATTGTTTTTAAAGAACCACTTGCTCATCCTATTAGCTTCTGGGGAACTCTATACAGGGGAAGGAGGGATAAATGCATGCATGCATCTCTTAATATCATACAACATTTTCCCTCTTTATTTCTGCAAACACATTTGTACCTGCCAGTGCACTTTTCCACCATTGTCTATTCATACTTTCACACTTGTCTACATTTATCTCCATAGTTTTCCTATTCATAGATACCTTTCCACATCCACATGGCCTCCATATTCTCACACCTAAAAAGAAACAAGAACCTAATTTATTGGAGATAAATCTCAAATATGAAGACGAAAGCAGTGAGGTAGATTTGGGGGAGACGAAGGTGCTGGTGGGTGGGAGGATGCAGTATGAGCTGGAAGACACTGTGGGCCAGAGCTTCCCCATGACCAGAATATTTAGAGTTGATTCAATGAACCTACTCATTCTGAGTAGAATGACATGCTTAGTAGAATATTTGTGTAGCATGTTAAAACAATTGAGTCAAGACTTTGAAACAGTCCCTTAAAAAAAAAAAAACAGTAACAGTGACAAAGTAGCATTTCCATAAAATGTTAGGCTTACAGGGGGTCCAAGAAGAAGAAGTGTCCAGGTTGCCTTGCAAAAATGCCACCAAAAGGAATTTGTGTGTCACAATGAAGACAACAGAGTGAGTAGAGCTGAGTGGCCTTCCAAATTATTTCCCATGGCTTTCCACAAATATTTTGTAGATGCTGAGCACCCTGAGTGGCAAGGCCAGGCTGCTAAGCCCTATATAGGCAAACAGTTTAGGGCAGGGGTGTCAAACTCACAGTGTCATGTCGTCATCATGTGACATATCATGACCTTTGCTAAACTGGGGGTGGGCGTGGCCAGCACGTGATGCATCTAGCCTGCGTGCCGCGAGTTTGACACTCCTGATTTAGGGCATGGAAAGTGTTCTGGGAACAGGACCATCATGGTGGAAGCAACACTGAAACTCATGTCAGCTCAACTTGTGCATTTCCCAGTAACAGGACAGAAGAATTTTACTTATATTCCACAGTCTTCTGGGCATAAGGTGAGACTTACTAGAAAAGGCAGTTCAGGAGGTTGTATAGCCTAAGGGAAAAACAGAGGTTTACTAACAAGGGCTACCTGTAGCCGGTCTAAGCGAGGGTGTCTCCATGATAAAGGCAACAAGCAAGCAAATTAAATCTCTTCTGAGTGAAGGCAAGAAATATTGTGCCAAGCAGAAAGAGGAAAGCAAAAAAAGATACGAAGAAAAATCTCTACTCAGCTGAGAAAAAGAAGAAATAGAAAAGCAAGATTTTTCATAGCTCTCAGTAGGTTGAAATTTCTAGATTATATCCTCTTGAAAAAATATTACATCTCAGTTCAGTTATAAAACCAAATATTGATGAAATGAAATGAAAAATGTTAATGAAAAATGCTTCCACTTAAGTCATCAAAGTCAAATGATCTTTTGCAACTGTGTTTTGCATGGAGCTGTTTTATTCAGTGCCTTTATACCTCATGGCCTGCCATGCTATTCATTTTCAAATTATTAGATATTTCTGAATCAGTGTATAAAACTTCAGTTCAGGGGGTTCTCAAGTTACGACCACAATTGAGCCCAGAATTTATGTTGCTAGGTAAGAAATTTGTTAAATGATCTTTGCCCCATTTTATGGTTTTTCTTGCCACATTTGTTAAGTAAATCACTGCAGGTGTTAAGTTAGAAACATGGTTATTAACTGAATCTGACTTTCCCATTGACTTTGCTTGTCAGAAGGTCGCAAAAAGGGAACACATGACCCCAAGAAACTGCAACCGTCATAAATATGAGCCAGTTGTCAAGCATCTGAATGTAAATCACGTGACCATGGGGATGCTGCTTTGGTCATAAGTGTGAAAAATGGGTCATTAGTCACATTTTTCAGTGCCATGGTAGCTTCAAATGGTCACTAAATGAACGGTTGTAAGTCGAGGTCTATCTGTATTATAGCCCTGAAACTAATGAAGTAGTCCTAATGTGGCAGTTGTCATGATTTGCATTTGCTGGATAATATCTTCTCATTCAAATTTAAATCCAGTTTAGTAAGTATAGCCTAACAGAATATTCCCTTAGATTTACAAACTTAATATTGATTTTTCATGTTGTTTATGATAAAGAAGGCTTACTGAGATAATGTATCTACCTTGGGGAGATAAAGTAAAACCTATTTGTTTTCTTCGCTTCAGAAAGGAAAAAAATTCAAACCCTCAGACAATCATTGACTTCATTTATTTTATACTCAACACAAACCTGTAACAGAGTTTTTCTTGCGAGAATAAAATGTGACCTCTGATAATGAACTTTGAATTATTTATCATAACCATACACATCCTAACAAAAAGTTGACTGCATATGTACAAAAAAAGGGGTTGATCCCTCCACTGCAATAAGACTGATTTTCAACTGTTTACAGAAATATTGCTTCCATTTGAAAAGCTGGGATTTGTCCAAGGGTAATAAACTGTTTAATAACTGGTTTGAAAGGTAAACTGATTTAATCTTATTGTATTATAATGGAATGATCAGAATTCAAGAAGTTTGCCCGCATTGGATGAAGTTGGAAGGACAGGCTGTCAAGTATCCATTCCCCATCCCATGATCCAAAGCTATATCCTATCACCTTTTTCGTGGCTTTCAGAGCAAGCTGCATGAAATTGAGCTAAAATGTTAATTTTATTTTGCATGTTGAAGTGGTGGCCATGATGTCTCTGCAGCTCCCCCAAATGGGGCATTTTTCATGAGGGGTTAAAGAGCAAAAGAATCTATTCCTGCACTAGAACAGATTTTAACTATGGCCCTTGACATGTACCTTTTAAAGAGCTGCAAACATAGATAGTTAATAGATGATATTACATGGCTTTTTGTTGACAGATTTACCAACATCTTCATGAGTGCTTCATTTTGTTTGTTCACAGCACCAGGCTATCATTTACGAGGCTAAAAATAAACAGGTGCATGCATGGTTTTATTAATGTGGAAGATAGTGTTCTCAATAGTCTTTGAGTTGATTATTTTCTAGCTGCGGGAAATTATGGATTAATTTCTCACAATAATTTCAAGGTAATATTGGTTTCCTCAAGGTGGTAGTTAATAAACCTGAGTCATTATATTAGAAAGAAGCAAGTGTCACTTCTGCTTCAAATAATGTCAGCCCATCAAACTTTATTGCAGAGAACTGACCCAGACTTCAAAAGAAACTTATGCATATAGTAGAAATTACAATGCAACTTGCATAATGAAAAGGTCCTGTAATTGTGCACAGCCTATTTTGCTCTTAACAGTGTGCAGATTCTAGAAGCTACAAATACAGACTTTGCAACTGCAACATTTATCTTCGGATCTTTATCTGCCTAAAGAAGTTGTGTATGGAATTCTATCCAAACTAGAAATGAGCTAAGGGTATTGTGGATGTCTTGGTACAAAAGGACATGATCCCATGATTCAAAGCTC